TCTTCCCTCCTCCACTCGGAGTCTCTCCCACGCCCCAGGTTGCTCCATGTGATAAAGCGGAGTCGGAGGCAGCCCGCTCAGGAGCCCCGAGTTCAGCACCGAGAGTCTCTGGGTAGACTTGCTATTTGTTGGGCCACGGGTGCCACAGAGGTTCCACTGGGCTTAGCAACGCTGTGTCCTCAGACCAGCGGCGGGGTTTCCAGGGAGACGGGCGGGCTGAGAGGATGGACGCCCTCCTGCAGCCATGGGCCATCCTCCACCTGTGCAGCCACGGAGCGCGCCCCCCGGACCTCAGAATGGCAGACACGGGGTTGGGTGTGGAAATCCTCTCCGAAGAGCTGAATTGCAGATTTGTTGTTTATAGAAATTGGGCCGGAAACAGAAACTCTTTCCTGAGCTGAAAGTAACATGTGGGGGAACTCGCTGCCCTGTGTCCCATTGGTTTGGTGGGGACGCCCTGTTTCTGGCATGCAGCGTTCTTGTTGGTTGCGTCGTCCCGCGTTGCTGCTCTGTGTTTCCCTGTGTCCCCAACCTGCTGCCTCCGATGCATCCTTGATGCTCAAGGAGAGACGTGAGCTGCGTCGTGTTTCCATGTGTTGGGTAAGGTCTCAACATGGCCGGGGCTCTAATTCACCAGGGAGAATGTTTCTTCCCCCTCCCGTGACGGGGCGACGTCTTGGCTGCGTTTGTGTCATCCCCACGAGATGTCAGACTGACGGACGGCATCGGGAACGCGGCTTCCAGGCGCACCACATCCACGGCCACCCCTGCTTGCTTCCTGCTGAAGCAGCGGAAGAGGCTAGAACGTGGGGCGGCCAGCGGGGTGTCTTCATCCACGTTCCTGGAGACAAGAACTCCAGGCTCGTGTGAAAGCTGCACAGGGCCCTTGTCCCGATTGCCCTGTGCTTGTCCTTCTCTCTGTCTCCTGGGTCTGCCTGCTCCCGACTGGCCTGTGTGTCCTTGTCCCCAACTCTGCAGACCGCCACGCGCTCTCTGCAGCCCGTCCTGTGATCCCTCTGCCCGGCCACCCGGAGCACTGTGCCCGGGTTCGTTCCAGCCTCGTCCCCTCTCCTGCCGCATCGTCCCCCGCAGTCTCCCCCTGGTTAGACTCATCGGGCCTGGGGGACGCCTGCAGCGGGACCACAGGGCCCTGCAGTGCCGGCCGTCCGGGCAGGGACGCGGCTTTAAAAATGCTCTTCATTTAAAAGCCTCTTAATTTTAGAAACAGAAGTCAGAGTTCCATCACTTCTCAATCTCTGAACTGTTCCTCCCTGGCAGTCCCAGGAGACTTCCAAGTTATTCCACTGGTCACGTAAGTGTTAATGGTGAAGTGTGTATAAATTCACCATTTATCCAATTTGTTCATGGAAATACTCCAAAAGCTTGAAAACTTTGTATGTGCTAACCGTTTGCCTAGTTTTCCTCAAAACTTAGATCCTTTGATGAAGACTTAAACAGCTCAGATCCAGTAACTGATAACTTTTGTAAGTGAATTCTGGTGATGTCTGTGGCCAGGAGAGTGGCCTCCAGTGGGATTCTCATGTGGGGCTGCTTCTGACTGCCGAGAGACGGCCGTCCCCTGAGGTTTCATGTCACATGTATTTTGAGATTTAGGGAACCCCAAAAGTCCCACCGATTTAAAATGTCACCCACCTCGCCTTTCCTGTGAGGCAGTGAGAAGCGCATCATTTCTTAATTGACAAAGGAAAAGAAAATCCCTTAATTCTGGAGGAATGGAACATGGCAGGGTGTGCTTTGATGGAAAAAATGGAAAGGTATGAACTGCTGGCCAGGCCAGCGGTGGTCCAAATACAGGAAGATGGTAAACGGGTGCCCGGGACTCTGGAAGGAGGACAAGTGGTGAAGTGAGCAGGCCCTTAGGTTTATGTTACAAGAAATTATACTTATCTCTGTAATGTACTAACAGAGGGGTTGGTTACGTACACGCGTCATTTCATCTGATGCTCAAGGCAGGGCTCTGAGGCGGACAGGAGAGTGTTGCCTACATTGTCCCTGCTCCACCGATGCAGAAGCCGACGAGGAAAAGGGTTAAATGTCTTCCCGGGAGTTCTCCTGGTGGAGCTCCTCAGTCCCGGATGCTGAGACCCGACCAGGAAAACACAGCATTTCCGCTGACTCACTGCGAACGCCCCTCTCCAGCTTGGCCGTCTCTCTCGGAGGCTCTTGTTTGAAGAGGAAAGTGTTTTCTGTGTTAACGCGTGGCTGACTCGCCAGGACTTCTGGTAGAGGGAGAAACACTTGCTTTCCAAATTCCAGCACAAATGTCAGGTTCTTGGCGTTCTCCAGCGAGGGCCTCCCCCTCCCTTGTTCACGTCATCTTTCAAAGGTGGGCCATGAGTAACTTGGAGCAGTGTCCCTCAGCCGCTCGTGGCGCAGCCTGCTCCTTACACGTGTGCGTGAGCCCGCCGTGGTTTCTTACCATCTCCGAAGGAATGAAATCATGATTCAATTAGACTTTGTCCTCCCAAACTAAGGGATTTCTTCTAACAAAGGGCAAACCAGTCGAATACCTATACAAACATAAATGTACTATTTATGTGTTGAAAAAAAATAGACATGATACTGCATAAACTCTTATATACGACATTCTTGAAGAGACAAAACTAAAACAATGGAGAACAGTCGAGTGTTTGGCAGGGGCGAGGGTGGGGCATGTGGCTCTTGAGGGAAGGTGACCAGGTTCTTGGGGAGGGGCGGGGTTCTGTGGGTCGGTCGCCCGTGGTGACACACATCTACCCACCTGCCAAGATTCGTAGAGCCAAACACCAAAAGTGAAAGGGTCAGTTTTACTGCGTGATCATTTTAAAAATAAAATAAAAAATAGATGTAGGCAAATTAGTAAATTTAATGTAGGACTTGTAATTTCATCATGAGGCTGTGTTTGTTGAGTTTGTCATCACAAGTTTATAAATGACAGCAACTATGTGTGTTATTAGCTAAAAATATTTTAAATTATAGACATACTGTTAAGGAAAAATCAAGTTGATGTAAATAACCGTTGGAATGGCTTGCTCCTCTTTTGGTGAGACTCCTTGAAAATACTTGAGATGCAGTGAATCAATATAATTTGTCTAGACAGGTAATAAAAATCAGGCCTGCTGTATGCGTGAATATCAGAGTCGTCTCTCTAACGTGAAGGGCCTGCAGAATTATAAATGGTTATCTTGCTCTGCTGTCAGGCAACAACTTTCTTTAGACCCCTACATATCTGAAATGTTTGTATTGGAAATGTGTGTGTCTTTCACTTTTAATGTATATATGCTGTCAATATATACACTGTATGCCCTGAAGGAGGGAACAAGCCACATACTTTGCTGGGCTCGGTGCAAAATGAAAACACTGGGCCCCTTGCTCACAATCGCTAAGAACGGCAGGACATTGACAGCAAGCCTTCACTACAAGGCTCTATTTGTCCTGAGCACGCGGCCCCGGGCACCTGCAAAACTGTCTCAGTGGTTGTATGTATATATCAACTTTACTTTAAATTTTTCCTTAATTATATGTTTATAATTTAGAATATTTTTAGCTAATAAAACATATATCTGCTCACATGTGCAAACTTTTTCTTTTCTTTTTTTTTGAGGAAGATTAACCCTGAGCTAACATCTGCTGCCAATCCTCCTCTTTTTGCTGAGGAAGACTGGCCCTGAGCTCACATCCATGCCCATCTTCCTCTATTTTATATGTGGGACGCCTACCACAGCATGGCTTGAGCAGCAGCGCCTAGGTCCATGCCTGGGATCCGAACCGGTGAACCCCAGGTTGCCAAAGTGGAGCGTTGAACTTAACCACTGCGCCACCGAGCCGGCCCTATGTACAAACTTTTGATGATGGACCCAACACTGCCTTGTGCTGGAACGATCAGTGCTGCGTTAACTTTATTAATGCACAGGTTGTACACCCATGAGGCCGGTCCTGTGCAAACACAGATTTCAAGAAACTGATACTTATTCAACCCAGATGGGTCTCCTCTCCTCCCTGGATTTGAATTCCCTCTCCATCCCTTGCTGGCGAGGTGACCTCAGGCAGTGTATTTATAGGGAAATGGAAAAGAGACCAGGCATTGTTGCGTGTTGGTTTAAATCATGGGCTTTGTCGTAAGTGTATGACCTTAGGCAGTGTCCTCATCAGTAAGATGGGAGGTGGGGAGTCTCTTCTGTGCCCATGGTCCTGTTGTGGGCGTAAATGACAAGACATTGCCAATGACCTACTGCGGCCCACAGCCGACCCTGAGTGTCCTCACCTGGGCACTTAGAGCGACTCTGCTCACCCAGCTCATGGCAGACCTCATTTCTACCCTATTTCATTAAACTATAGAGAAAGATCACTGGGGACCTCATTTTGATGTCAGATGACCCCAGTTGTTGGAAATTTGGTTCAGATTAAATGTCATTTCTAGGTATTTCTTACTAATAGTAATTACCCCAACAATGATTTAAAAATATTAGAAGGGACAAAATATCAGTCAAACTCAAATTGTGAGACATCCTATAAAACAACTCCCCAGTGTCCTTCAGAAATGTCAAGGTCGTGAAAGCCCAGGCTCACCTGAGGAGCTGACCTTGACTGGAGCAGACTTAGGAGCTGTGACAGCTCATGGCGCTGTGGGCCCGGATCGGCTCCAGGCCCAGACACATGACCTGGGTGGGGAAGCTGCTGAAATGTGAACGGGTCTGCAGATGAGTCCCTCGTGTTGTGTCCTTGTGACTCCTGTTTTCACAACGGTTCTGTGGTTCTGTAAGACTTCAACATCCCGAAGGGGTGAGGGACGTACAGGAGGGGACTAACGGCTATTTCTGCAACTTTTCTGTAAGTCTAAAGTTATTTCACAAAACGCTAGGAACGGAAAAGCTACTGAACACTTGAAAATACGCACTTTTAAACAATTCCAAATTAACTAAAATTTTAGTGTTTTCTTCCCTCGAGCTTTGGAGCGAATGGTGCTTCAGGTTTGTCTTCTTTCTGTTGCCTATTTGCAGATAGAGTTTACATGGGGCCGGGACAGCTGTATCAGGATTTGCAAAACCTGCTGCACGACTTGAACGTAGTCGGTCAGATCGCCCAGCTGGTCGGAAACCTTAAAGGCAACTATCAGGTAGCCGTCGGAGCCCCTTGATTCAAAATCCTCTTTCAGCTTCCAGTTGTCGTAAGTACATGATCGTGTCTCCAGGTTCTGCCAAAAGTGACAGTGGACGCTTGCTATGAGTCGGTCTGATGGCGAGTTTGCTCCCGTGGTGGAGGGTGCAGCTCGATGGCCTGACTTCCCTGCGTTTTGCAGCAGACTCGAGTATCGGTCCTTAGACCTGCCTCTGCCAAGCCCCCGTGTGGCCTCACTCCCCAGGGTTTCTTTCCCCTCATCAGAGACGAGTATCGCTGGTCTCCCTGAGTTTCTCATATTACAACACTGCTTCTCTCTCCTCCTTAGCGTGGTCCTGCCTCATTAACGCTTCTAAAATGTGCTTCTCTGTTTCCCTCGCAGAACTTAAACCAGTCAGTCGCCCACGATTGGACGTCAGGTTTACAAAGACTGATTCTGAAGAAGGAAGAGGAAATCAGGGCCGCCGACTGCTGTCGAATTCAGTTGCAGCTCCCGGGGAAGCAGGACAAGTCAGTAGGAACTTGACGAGGGAGCGTGGTCGGGCAGTGCTCAGAAATGGCTCTGTGTCATGATGAGCATGTCCTCCTGGCTCCGAGATTGTATGGGACGGGCACAACGTGTGCTTTGATGTCACGCGGTGGAGCGCGTTCTCTAAAGTGGCTGCTTCTCTCTTCTTCCCGGCAGGTCTGGGCGGCCCACTTTCTTTACAGCTGTGTTCAATACCTTCACGCCCGCCATCAAAGAGTCTTGGGTCAACAACCTACAGATGGCCAAGCTGGCCCTTGGTAAGGTTTGGTCGATTTAAGCTAAGTGAGGCGTGCTCAAACAAGAGACAGCCTACGTTTCCTAATCCTTAGCATTTTCTACGTTATGATGAAATATAGACCTCGGGGAGGATAAAGTCACGGTCGAGATGTAAACCGTGTTCATCCACTTGCCAGAAAGAATATTTTTAAACAGGAAAAGTCAACCCCAGCACAAGTGATTTTTAAGACCTTTATATTATCATTTAGGGCTTGTAGGAAAAAAAGCCCTTGCTTTTTTGATTGTAAAAAAAACATTAAGATCAGTTGAGATTGTCAACACAGGTGACAGGCCTGTGGGTCGGGTCCCAACCCTGCGTCCAGCCTGCGTCTGTCAGCGTGTGGCTCCACGTGTCAGGGAAGTCAGGTGCTCAGCGAGTTCCCTCATCCCTTGCCCGTGAAACAAAATACGGCACTGGGCTGAATTGTCACTGAAGACCCTCCTAACGCGAAAAACAAGTCCTGCCGTGCTGTGCGGGATGGGAGTGGCTTGGTGGTGGTTTCCTTGTTCCTTTGTCCCTTCAGCCTTCCTTTGGTCTGCATGTCTGATGGGTACATAGATAGTGATATGATGTATTGATGTGTGTGTATCTGTAATTTATACACACGCACGTCTGTCACTCAGAACACACTGGGAGGTCCTGTGTGTGTGTGTGTCAAATCCTCTTTCAGACGCAGACCATCTGAAAATGTTAGCTCACATACACTACGGAAGAGAATCAGGGAATGGAGCCGTGCCCAGCACCCCAGCGCGCTGGGATCAGGAAGGACTTTTATCCTGTAGGGGAAATCTTCCAGAACCGCCTGTGCCCAGTGGGAGGGGAGTGGTGACTCAGCCCCTTCTTTGTCCCTGAATAATGTAGTGGTGTATCAAGCCAGGTTCAAAGTGACTCAGCACATGAAGATATAGCCCCCCCTCCAAAGAGAATAAGTTGACCCTGAAAATAAGCCCCCTTTGTCTTTAGATAAATTACACGTTTAGAACTGAGATTGACCACTTGCTTTGGTAGTGAACTATTTCCTCGTTTCGTTGTCCTTTTTATTCCCTGGTATTATACCACGTCAAGAAATTTCTCGGTATATCCCTGGCATTTGAATCTAAAATCCCAGTTGCTTTGGGAAAAACAGAATGAACAAAGATAAAGAAAAATAGACCCAGGTGGTTTACGCAGTGAGGTTTCTCAGCCAGTTATGTCCGTGGTTTGGGAAGAGCAGACGGGAGGTCGGGGGCATCGCTGAGATGGGGCCAGAGCGCTATCTGAGATAAAGCAGTGGACGTACAGCCTTTCCATAAGAAAAGCTGGTACCGTTTCAACAAACGACTCAGTTCTCCAGTCTTCTTGGAAACTGAGCGTCAGCACCCTGTCCCCACACGGCCCCGCTGGAGGGCAGGCTTCGTCACGAGCACAGCCAGTGAGGCCCTTGTTCATTTTCTCTTCGAATGTGACCGCAGAGGAGGAGAACCACATGGGCTGGTTCTGCGTGGAGGATGACGGGAATCAGATAAAGAAGGAGAGACACCCTCTGCTCGTCGGGCACATGCCGGTGACGGTCGCCAAGCAGCAGGAGTTCAAGGTGACGGGCGGGGCGGGCCCGGAGCTCGGGGAGTTGCCGGTGAGGGCCGGGGTCCCAGCGCTGTCTCCCCAGGTCACACGCTCACTACTCCCGCAGGGGCAGTTTGTTTAGAAATCCTTCAAGATCGCTGTAGTTTGAAGACAAAAACCTGCTTTTCTGCTCAGCTGTTGTCCTGGAGCCCGTGCTGGGGCTTCCTTGTTGCAGCACGCACCTTCTAGGCATTATGGTTAAACGAGGGCACACGTGTCCCCATCTGTCCACTGTCTGTCCTTTGCTTGGCGGTGCTCAGGTCATAATTAGAGGCCTTGTGTCCATCCACTCCTTGCTACAGCGAGCCCCGTCTCCAGGGTGGCATTTTGTTAACGCTCCTGTGCTCTTGATGGAAGCATGGCAGACGGTGCCTTCAGAGACCTGTGGGTGGTTCTTTAGGAAACGATACATCGTTTCTCACTTCTGGTCTCGGGCCGACGTGCACACCTGGAGCCTGGGTTCCTGTAGACCCCACAGCTGATGGGGGACCACTGCCTGTGGCAGCTCAGAGCCCACCCCCGGGGGAGGCGGGTGGGCAGGAAAGGACCGGAGGGGCAGGTCTCCATCCAGGGAGGAGGGAGCCGCCGTGTGACGTGCTCCCCGACGCTTGTTTCCAGCGGGTGGTGGGTCTGAAGAACAAGACACTGAAGACGGAAGCGTCTGCTTTAGCTGTTCGCTTCCAAAAAGCTCCGTAGTGAGATTCCTACTTTAGTCCTTCTCTGTCTCAATCTTTGATGAGGAATAACCTGGACCGTCTGTGGTTAGATGTCAGAACCCTGTCGTCCGTTTCGGACTCTGTGTCATCCAGATGCCTCTGGGTCCCATTTTAAACATGGACGTTGGGTGTTTTCCCTGCCAGATCGAATGTGCCGCCTACAATCCTGAGCCGTACCTGAGTGCCGAGGGTCAGCCGGATGCGGCTTCCGCGGCCCACGGTTTCCTGTGGGTAAGACGTCTCTGTGTGTCTGTAACGTTCACGCGTCAACATCTGCAGGTGACGTGACGAGAAGTTACACGTTTGATGGTTTGCCGGACCGTTGTTAGCTCCCGGCGTGTCCTGGATTACGTTTATAAACATCAGAGTCACGGAAGATGAAAGGGGGCTGGACGCTTTTGGAAAAGATGTCAAATTCCTAGGAATTAAAATATTTCTCTGTTGTGTTTTTCGTCTCAAACTTCACAAGATTAAATTCAGTCCAAAGACAACTGACAACTAATATGAGAGTAATTTAAATATTTCTTCAGTGTTGGAGGTTAAATTTTGGAGGTTAAAATGACTTTTTTCCTCTTCCAAGACATGGCTGGCTTTTTATGCTGGAAACTCGGCAGTTAAAATTAATTTGTTCCGAATGAAATGCTGCGTCTGAGCTGTGCTGGCATTGCAGGGCACGTGTCAGATTCGTGCAAACCAGAGGGATTCCCCACGCAGCACGCTTTGAGGTCCCCTGGTCTCCCCTCCCCAGGAACCCCCCAGCCGCCTCCGTGATGTTCCCAGACCCTCACCCAGGAACCTACACCCCCCCCGCCCCCTCCCAGCAGAGCCCCCGCTGGCTCGTCTCCTAGTTGAGTCTTGAAAGAAAGAGCTGAACAGCAGATCACTGTTGGCCCTCAGCTATGAGTGAAGGGCTGGGCTTCCTTCCTCATGATTTTAAAAGAGTTCTTTCCATCCCAGCGGACCTGTGATTGGCGCCTCCTTCCCTCTCGGGGTCACACCCCCACCCCCAGTGCCAGCCCCCCACTTCGACATGCATTCTTACTGCTTTATTTTTCCTTGTAAGTTCTTGTTTTCTTAGGTAAGGTCTGTTAAACATTAGTGTTAAATTGTTCTAAAAAACTGCTTTTTAAGACTTTAAGTTGTGTATGAGTAAGGCTTTACCGTTGTGTAGTGCTGGGTACGTGATTTTTAAAGGATTTAAATGTGATTTAAAAAAAGTCAAGGGCCGGCCCGGTAGCATAGTGGTAAAGTTCGTATGCTCTGCTTCAGTGGCCCAGGGTTCACAGGTTTGGATCCCGGGTGCGTGGACCCACACACCACTCATCAAGCCATGCTGTGGAGACGTCCCACGTACAAAGTAGAGGAGGATGGGCACAGACGTTAGCTCAGGGCCAGTCTTCCTGAAGCAAAAAGAGGAAGATTGGCAACAGATGTTAGTTCAGGGCCAATCTTCCTCACCAAAACAATAAAAATAAAACCTGTGTTCTTGTTAGTAAAAGACAAATAACCTAATTAAGTATGTTGAAAAGGAAAAGGGGGCTCTGTTAGCAGACCGTTTAAAGATGATTTGACTCTTTTAAGCATGTTGGATCTCACATGAAAATCAGTTCTTGTCACTGCCCTTAGCGTCGGGGTTCTCGGTGTTGTGGGAGCATCCGTGCCTTCATTGTCTCCCCTCCTAAACCCTGATTCAGATCGGAAGCTGCACCAGTCAAATGGGTCAGATTGCCATCGTCTCCTTTCAAAACTCCAACCCCAAAGTCATCGAGTGTTTCAACGTGGAGTCTCGCATCCTGTGTATGGTCTACATTCCCGCGGAGGAGAGGCACCGGGAGCCCGGCACGGCCTCGGAGCCCGAGAGTGCGGCCGTGAGGGCGTCCGCTGTTCCCACCATCTGCTTGGGGACGGAAGAAGGGAGGTAGGGTCCACTCAGTCTGTTACAGACGGTCACCGTCCGCTGTTGCGTCGCGAGCAGCCGTGAGGGGCCGGGATGGACAGAGTCCCTTAGCTCAGCCTGTTGGGAATTTCGTGATATGAGTGGAAATTGCTAGGGTCGTGGCACCCGAAAGAGCCAGTGACTGAGGCCCGTGGCGATGAGTCTAGGGAGCTCCCACAGCGACGTGCTCGCTCCTAAGGGGAGCAGTCTCAGTCCCACCAGCCCGTTGGCCACTGACTCTGTTCATTCTTATTCACGCTTTTAAAGCACGTCACGCCGTGTGCTGTGGGATGAATCAGAGCCGTGTTCTCTGTTATGATCATGTTGAACAGCGACACCGTTTAGAGGAAAGTTAAAGTAATTTTCCTCATGTGAAGTTCCAGGATCTGTAGGAAGGGCTATTTGTTAACTGCCCAGAATTTCCCTTTTAAAATAAAAGATCCAACTGGTAGCAGTCTTTAAAGCATAGCCCAGGGTTTCTAGAAGGAGTGGGAGGCTTCCGAGGGACAGGGAGGCATCCGGTGAAACATTGACGTGTTCGTGTCAATAGGCGCCCTTTCTCTTTCCATGGTGAGCAAATGTATTCATTAGCTTTTATTTCTCTTTTGAAGCATTTCCATTTACAAAAGCAGTCAGGGCTCCAAGAAAGTGCGACTCCAGCACTTCTTCACTCCCGAGAAGTCCACCGTCCTGAGCCTGGCCTGCAGCCCCCAGAGTCTGTACGCCGGCCTCGTCAACGGGACCGTGGCCATCTACGCCAAAGCCCAAGGTAACTGTGTCCCTCTGGCCGTCCACACATCAGGCTGCATTGCTGGTTCCAGGGGGCTGGACTCTGGCCTGAGCCCCCCACCTTTCAGTCTCACGACCCCGTTAGCGTTGTTCACCGCTGGCCCCGAGGTACATAGAACTTTCTCGTTCCCAAAAGGGTGATGGGGAAACAGAATGCTACCAGCTAAACACACAGCAAGTTGTTTCAAAGGTCCGTCTCCCGGCTGAGTCCTCCGCCTTCCGCAGAGCCATGACTTGAGTGCGAATCCTTCTTGTTAAGTCCGACTCTGTCCCTTCACGCTGTCCCTGTCCTCACTGAGAGCAGGAAAGATTTCTCTTCTTGGGTGAGAGAATTGCAGGCTCCCTCAGTGTTGTGCTGTCACCCGTCTGCGCCAGCCCAAGGACCAGAGACGCTGGATGCTCTGGCCATCGTCCCTCCTCCTCAGGCTCCTCCCTCGCCCGCCCCTCCCTGGCTTCTTCCTTCTCTCCGTTCCTTTGTGTCGCAGACTTCTCTCAAAGTTCTAGTGGGTTCCAGCGGCCCAAAGAGGAGGATGGCTCAAGTCTGCAGCCCTTCGGCTGTGCCTCCCCAGGCGAGCTGGCGTCCCTTCTCCTGGTGAGCCAAGGGCACACCCGGTTCTGTCCAGCTGACCCTCACACAGCTCCCCGGGGTGGAGGCCGGCGGCTGTCCCAGTGCCCGGCCTGCGTCCCACCCCAGCTTCTGGAGCGTGTGTGTGGCTTGTGGCAGCTCTGCTTCATGGAAACTGGTTTCAAACTGAGTTTCTTTCTTGCCTTCTCGATGGCGGGCCGGTCTCCCTCCCTGCTTGTCTTTTGTTCAGCGGTTGGACCAAAAGTGCCGGATTCACAGCTGGGGTCCAAGCTTGTCCTTCTGGGCAGCTCCCTAAGAGATCTCATCCAGCCTCAGCTCTTAAACGTCCTGTCTCGGTCACCTTGGCCAGCTGTGAAATGCCACAGATGAGGGGCTCACCCAAAAGGCATCCTCGCACTTCTGGAGGCCGAGGCCCCAAGATCAGGGTGCCAGCGGAGTCACTTCCTGGTGAGGACCTGCTCCCTGGCTTGTGGATGGCCACCTTCTCCCTGTGTGCTCGTGTGACAGAGAGGGAGAAAGAGAGAGAGAGCACGCTCTGGTGTCTTCCTCTTCTTATAAGGGTGCTGGTTCCATCATAGGGCCTCCCCCTCAGGACTTCATCTAACCTTTATATCTGCCACTGGCCCGCCTCCTGATGCCTTCCCGTTGGGGATTAGGGCTTCAGCCTGTGAATCTGGGGAGACACAAGTCAGTCCATAGCAGACCATGACCCCCGAATTCACATAGCTGGCCATGACTTCACCCTCATGCTCTGGGCTCACACATCCAACAGCCGTTTTGATATCTCCACCTGAATATCTTAGCAGAAGCTCAGTGCTGCCATTTCCAGTCCAATACGGAGGGTTTTCTCTCCACCGCAAGCTGCTCTCCGCACCATCCTCTCCCATCTCAGTCAGTGACCATTGCGCCCACTGGGCCTCCTGGATCCCTGTCTTTAACTGCTCCGCCTGCCCCTCCCACTCTCCATCCACCAGCAGGTTCCTGTCCACTTCTCCAGAACAGGTCCCCGTCACTCCCACCTCCATCGCTAACACCCTGGTCCCTGGCCGAGCGTGCACAGAGTGACATTCCAGTTCCTGCCCCCGTCTCAGCATTTCCTATGGCGCCCGCCCACCTTCCAGACCCTCCTGCCCCTCCTCCCAAGTTATGTGCATTGCTTCCAGTGCTGTGAATTTATTCAGGGTTCATTTTTATTTAATTTGGGGGAGTTAAACTTTTTTTTCCAGCTTTATTGAGGTGTAATTGACCTGTAACACTGAGCAGGTTTAAGGTGTGCAGAGTATTGATTCGATGTGTTTATTTATACACTGCAGTGTGATTGCCACAGTGGTGTTAGCCAACACCTCCATCCCCTCACGTAATTACCGTTCCTGTTTGGTGGTGAGAACATTTAAGATCTGCTCTCTTAGCGACTTTCAAGTATAATCAAGTATTGTTAACTATCGTCGCCATGCTGTGCCTTAGCCCCCAGAACTTACTCATCTTATAACTGAAACTTTATGCTTTTTGACCAGCATCTCCCCGTTTCCCCCACCCCCAGCCCCTGACAACCCCCGTTCTACTCTCTGTTCCTATGAATTTGGCTTTTGTAGATTCCACATGTAAGTGAAATCGTACAGTATTTGTATTTCTCTGTCCAACTTCTTTCACTAACCTTGATGTTCTCAAGGTCCATCCATGCAGTTGGCAAGGTTTCCTTCTTTCTCATGGCTGAATAATATTCCATTGTACCTAATACCACATTTTCTTCATCCATCATGCATTGATGGACACTTAGGGTCTTTTCATATCTTGGCTGTTGTGAATAATGCTGCAATGAACATGGGGTGCAGATTATCTTTTCAAGTCAGTGTTTTTGTTTCCTTTGGATAAATACCCAGAAGTGGAATTGCTGGGTCATATGGTATTTCTATTTTTAATTTTTTGAGGAACCTCCATCCTATTTTCCGTAGTGTCTGTACCAGTTTACATTCCCACCAACAGTGCACAGGGTTCCCTATTCTCCACATCCTCACCAGCACTTGTTATCTCTCGTCTTTTTGGTAATAGCCATTCTAACAGGTGTGAGCTGGTCTCTCATGTGGTTTTGATTTGCATTTCCCTGGTGAGTATGGTGTTGAGCATCTTTTCATGTGCCTGTTGGCCACCTGTATGTCTTCCTTGGAGAAGGGTCTATTTGCTGTCGCTTTGTTCTTGGAGGAGGAGGACATGGCTGGCTGGAGACCTTGGCCCTTCCACAGGGAGAATGACTGCTGCTCAGCCACACGCTGTTGCAGGTCTTTGACGTTTTAGGGAGTTGGAAATCTGGAATTCTGTAGGAAATTTCCAGATTTTTAGTTGTGGCCCAAATGTAATTAGCATGTGTTTGGGCCTGGCCTGTTTGAGAACTCAGGCCTGGCGTGAAAACCCCAGAAGTTATCTCGAGATAGGTGGTCTGTGGCTCCAATTCACATGCACGTCCTCGTGACCTGTGTTGCACTCTTCACACCTTCCCGATTTGGTTGGGAGCACACAAGTGCACGGAATGCATAGAAAGAACAACCCCAGTGGTTGGAAAACAAAGTTCAGTTGTTGGAAGTTAATTCTTAACCGAAATAACACGTCTGAAGCAAATTATCCCGCCCTTGGTCTTTGTGTTGTTGCTTCAGAGGGGTCGTCAGTACCGGTATGACAGTGGACGGCTGTCCAGGGACAGGAACCCCAGGAGATAGATGAGGCAGGACCAGGCTTCAGGAACCCGCACGCACAGCCCCACAGGAGTTCCTGGAGTCCCTCTGAACCTCTCTTTCCCCATCCAAAGTGGAGCTTGCAGGGCCTCAAAGGGTTGTGAGGCCCAAATGAGAAGGCCGTGCGTGTGTGCATGTGCACAGGTGTGTGCGCCTGTGTGTGCGCACGTGTTTGTTTGCACGTGTGTTTAAGCACACAATGATACACTGGTTCCAGAGTCGATTTTACAAATGAAAGCAGGTCAGTGTCCACTGGGCTAGTAATTGTCCTGCTGCATCTTTTAGCCTAATTGCAACATCAAGGCATTTCCATGAAAGTTGAATTATAAGTTACGAGTGTGCCAGGAAATTCAGGACATGTGTACTTGCCTCTCATGTCAGCTCAGCTCAGTCCAGACAGATGCTCAAGAGCAGGTTTTGTGCTAAAAGGTCCGCACTTCACATCCAGACGAAGAAGAACTCAGTGTGGAACCACAGCCCCGTTCTCATCCTGGAGCAAAGCATTTTTCTTTGATTACAACTCAAGGGTGTTATCAGATTAACTGCTTAGATGGGTTTTTAGGCATGACGGCTTAATTATGGTTAGTTTGAAAACTGAAGAATTTATTTTAATTATTCACAGGATAATTACGTCGGCCACATTTAAACCGTGTGTTAAACTTGCTTTAAATAATTTTTTATTGCTATCCACGTTGTCTTATAAAGCATGACAGACCTCATCAGTAGATCTTTGAAAATATTTTCCAACCAAAATATTTTATCACTCCCTGCGCTTCAGGAATGGGGCAAGTTCGTCAAAACAGGGTGCCTTCTACCTCGATTTTGATTGTTTTTTTTAATTAAGCAAAGATATGGTGTCTTGTAAAATGGTATATATCAAGGGATATTTTAAAATGAGAGCAGGTAATGGAGAAATTTAAACATTTGCATTTATTATTGATTATTAATAATATTTAAGTAATTCTATATTAAATATATATGTTGAATTATAATTAATATGTAAGTAATTATGTTAATTATATATTATTATTGCATTATATAAATTAGTTTGGATGCAGTTCCTTTTAATGATGACTGAATCATTTTATATATTATTAGAAATAATAGTATGTATTGAATACCTGTCTGCCAGGTACTGTGCTGAGATTTATAATTGCATTATCACATTTTAAATTCTCACAACAACCTTTGAGGCAAGTGGCAATGTTGTCCCCATTTTACGGAGAAGAAAACTGAGACTTGGGTGCATAATTTGTCCAAAAGGCATCCCAGGTATCAGGGCCGGGATCAGAACGGAGGCCTGCGGACCCCGGTGGCCGAGCTTAGTTGCCGTGTTAGATTGCTTTATGGAAATGGTGCAGACTCTTGGAACTCCAGACACGCCCAGAGTCAAGCGTGAGCATCTAGGTTACAGATGATGTTTTAAGGGGTGGTTCTGTTATTTCAGATCATCTGTGATCCTTTCCCCCTGTCCCTGTGCACAGATAACTGAATTTGAATGAACTTAAATGTTTTCTTTTAAGATGGGTCCTGGAATTCCGAACCTCAAAAAGTGATCAAATTAGGCGTCCTGCCAGTTAGAAGTCTGCTGCTGATGGAGGACACGTTGTGGGCGGCTTCCGGAGGCCAAGTGTTTGTCATCAGCGTGGAGACTCACACAATAGAGGTGAGTCGTTTCAGTGACTGCACGGTGCAGAGAGGTGCGTTTCAGAACTAGCCCCACTGCCAATGATGCTGGAGGTCAGACAGAGCCTCTCACACACAGAAGACCCTGGCCGCCCCTTGCCCGTGGCCCTGTGTTGAAAGAAAATCCCTCTTGGATTTGGCTCAAAAAGATAGGATTAACTGGAAAATGAAATTAACTGTTTTTTAGCCACTAATCCATGGAGCAATTGTTCATTGTTTACCTGCTAATTAATGCAAACACATCACTTTAAAAAATGTGTTCAGTAGGAACATAATACAAGCTTCGAGGACATGTGGAAAATCAGCGTTGATGGATTTCCAGTGCGATAAATGGATAATTCAATAAAGGATAGTGAGATGGCTGACTAGCCATTTGGAAAAAACAACTGTATCTGAGGCCCCAACTCTCCACCCTCCTAAACGTTCCCTATGGGGGTGATGTTAGAGCACAAACAAAACCATAAACTTACGATAAAGGCAGCTCCGTTTTTTCATTATTTACAGCGGGGGAGACTTTCCAAGCACGTCCCATATCTAGAAGTCACCATAATAAAGAAAATGATAAATTTGGTAAAGTTTTAGAACGTTTTTTCACATCTAATACGTGTGTGTGTGTGTGTGTCAAAATTTTTGCAAATGAAAAATTGGGGACATTTGCTGCATCTACAACCAAGAGTTAATGTTCTTAAGATAAAGAGAATTCTTACTAAAGTTTAAGAAAAATAAACCAAGCTAATAGAAAATGTTCAAAGGACCTGAACAGGCAGCTCACAGAAAAAGAAATAAATAGGCAATATGCTCACAAATACAGGTGCAGATGTGTGTGTATTCGTATATACATTTATAGTGTACTCACAAATATGTATGTGTGTATGTACACGTGTAAGTGCACACATGTGCATGTGTATATATATGAGTATATATATGTGACACACATACACACCTTTGTCTCACTAATACCTGAAAGTCGCTTATTCAAACAAGGGACCGTTTTTCAGACTGACACGTTCAGTACTGTCTGGCGTCGGCAAGTGTGGGCATGGGGCTCCAGGATTCGACCTGGAAGCATGCCTCAGGGCAGCTTTTCTAGAATGCAATCCCGCGTACCGATCGGCATTCAGAGAGCTCGGCACCTTTTCCCGGCAAAGCCGACGCCAGACGTTCACCCTGCAGATAGGCTTGCTCGAGCACACACGAGGACACGCAGTGCAGTGTTGTTCCATCTCACAGATCTGTAGCAACATGCAAACATGCATCCGTGGGGGGACGTGGTTACATAATAGCGACTCTGCAACAGGGAAAGAGAAGGAGTGTGGCAGCGATGGGAGGCGGGTCGCCAAAGGAGAAAGGCACAGTGTGAATGTCCGCGTACTCAGGGCACCTGCAGCTCCCAGGAAGCACCGTGCATGTTAACTCTTGTTGATAATTGTGTAACATGCACGTGTATGTGTACTTGCGGTGGTACAAAAATTTCTTAAAAGCTGTCACTTCCAAGCCGGGGAGGAGGGATGGGAAGGAGAGAGAATTTGCTTTTCCTTGCACCTTTCCACTTTTTCAGCCGTGTCAGGCATCCCTTTTATCCTTAGACAGTTGCTCCTACCTAAGTGTTTCCAGTCTGTTCATCCCATCTCTTACCTCTGCTCTTCCCTAAGGAAACTCCACAGCACACGTATTTTTTCAGCCACCTCGTGAGTAAAAGTTCTTTGGACCCTCCCAGGAAAGGTGCTAGAAAGAGAAGTGTGTTCAGGCGGGTACCAGCACGTCCGTGAGGGCTCCGGGCACGTCCCACGACTGCTCTGAATGTCTGCAGATTCAGGGAGAAACGTGAGTCGTTGTGGCCTTGTGAAAATACCCATCTAGATGCTCCTTCAGGGAGATTGTCTGTTCAGTGAGGTGGGACTTGAAACCATTTTGCTAATGTTTCGTGAGACACATTTTAAGACTCTCACAAAACCTGCTTCAGGATTTATTTTTTGGCATGTTCTGTAATCTCAGAAAGGGGAACACCAGCCGCCAATACCGAGAGGTACTTTATGTCACAGCATGGGCTGACCGTGGTCAGGGTAACAGGGAGTCCCAGATGTGGGTGGGCGCAGTCTGAGACCGGAAGACACCCTGCCTGAGGGTGGCCTCAGAAAGCAGGACCTCCCGAGGAACCACGAGGTCCCACACCTGGGGCACAGGTGCAGCCAGGAACTGGGTCCCGGACGGGCTCCAGGTCTATGCTCTTTCTGTTGGACCGTAAATAGGTTTTCTTTTCTTTTTTTTTTAAGTATGCTTTTTGGTGAGGAAGATTGGCCCTGAGCTGCCACAATATGGCTTGATAAGCGGTGTGTAGGTCCACGCTCAGGATCCAAACAGTGATCCCCAGGCTGCTGAAGTAGAACTTGCGAACTTAACCACTACCCCGCCAGGTCGGCCCTACAAATAGCTATTCTCTCTGTGTTTTGTTTTTGACATCACCTCCCCAGGCTCCTGCCCCCTGAAGCTGACAGCAAGTCAGCTGGACAGCGGGTCTGGCCACCTGGACAGTTGGTGGGAGGAGAGGAAACTGGACTCTGATGTCAAGAAGAAGAGGCAGGATAGAAACACTTTAAGTTATTTTTGCCCAGGATTTGTATAGTACCTTTCTGTTTGTGCTTCTGTCCATCTGACACTTTTTATTTCACGCACCTTAGGGTGAGAAACCTTTGGGCCAGCCTGGAGCAAACTGTCACCAAGGCCGCTGTGCACACTTTCTTAGGTGCTGCAAGGAGCTTCCTGGGTTTTCTCTGTCCTTGCACACTGTCAGTGTCATCTCAATTATGTATTAAGAGTCGGAGATCAAGTCCTAACTCAGCCGTATATGCGAGCTGATCTCTGGTAACCCACTGGGCCCCAGTTATCTGATTTGTCAGTTGGCGATAAACCTTCTTTCTCAGGCTGTTTTTTGGGCAAAATGAGATGTAAAAGTACCCAGCAAAGAGCACTTCTATTATTATGAGAATAAATTTAATATACAAGAGCCAGAGATAATGTTTTATTATATTTGGGTTTCTTTTCATAGAGAAGAATAATATAATAACCTTTTTAAAAAACTTTTCTCTAAAAAGTGTATTAATTTTGCCATAAATTTATACCAGAAAGCTCCAATGACAGTTTCTGTAGCTGCCACCGAGTCACTTCTAGGCTAACATAACATTAAATTATGACCTTATCATAATCAAAATATTATTTCCACGTATTCTGAAGAACTTATATGCTGTAAATCTTGAAGTCTCAGAGAGAAGTAATATTTGTGGATCCAAATAAAAGTCCTCTTTCTGTGCATTTTTAGTACCGAAATGAGTAAATGCGTTTATAGAGAGAGAAACAGAAATCTCCCTTCTGAAAGAATGCATTCGTCTTGTAGTTCCCATTGCGCAGGGACCACAGCTGAGGTGTTGGCACAGCCCTGGAGATCTGAATTCACAGTGTGTCTGCCCCTAGTGGGGGGGAGGGGGCGTCTGCTGAAAGGGAAGTTCCAGATTGTTCCCCGTGTCGTAGGTGCAAGGTGCTTTGGGAAGAGAACGCTCAGAGGTGTAAATGTCTGCAGTGACTTCACTCTGGTGCAGGAGTTGTAGTGTCGGGGGTGGGGGGTGGGTGGGGCTGCAGGCCCAGCTCTGGCTCATAATTGCACAGCGCTGGGCAGTCACCCAGAGATGCTGAACCCAGTTATCATGCCCAGAGGGCAGAGGTCAAACTCCCTGCCTTCCCAGCAGGTCAGGAAGGGCCGGTGGCGGGGGAAAGGCTGCAGATGCTAAGTTGCCACGTGATGGAAGTTCCACTGGAGCTTTTGGGTGGGGAAGGGCGTCTGTGTTCTTTGCCAGCTACGTGTGGCTTTCTCCCTTGGGTTTATTTAGTGCCTTTCTTTAAAAACATCTTAGAGTGTTAGAAATGCTTTTGCCTTTCTAAAAGTAATGTGACATTTAGGAACAGGCTGATTCTGGATTCCTGGCAGGTGTTGACTTCACAGGTCTGCTTCCTAGAGGCACGGATCTCACGGGGAGTTTCAGCTTAATTACCAGAGCCACTTGGAATGAAAGTCTGTCACTCCTTGCTCCGGGCTTGCTGCAATACCAGGGCTCCTGACTGGAGACAGGAGAAAGGAAAGAAAGAGAACAAAAAGAGTTTTCTTCTAACCCCCTCACACTGAAGGGAAAAACAGAAAGAGTGAAATGGATATTAAAGGTGACATAAGAGCAGAGTGGTTTTCTGAGTCGATGCATTTTTTTTCTGGTAAGAATTAAATTCCTGTCATTCTTCAGAAAGACGATCGCAGGGCGCAGAGACGCAGGCCCAAGTGGCACACAGACGGGGTTCTTAAAGACACACACCTGTCTACGCCCTTTTTTCTGGAGACCTCAGTCACCCGATTTTAGGGCAGCGGGAGACTGGGAGACCTGGTTGCCCAAAGTTCCAATATTCAAACAGGAAACCAAGGGTCCTGAGAAAGTAGGAGATGCGCCCAGCATCACAGAGAGAAATTGTTATTCTTGTCATTCATCATCCAGCAGGAACGTGTCATCCATTTTCTAAGTACCAGACTCTGTACAAAAAAAGAGAAAAAAACTCACAGACTAGTTGGGGTGTCAGAAGAGGGGAGGAGGACACCAGCCTCCCAGGGCCACTGGGGGTTTATGTGGGGTCAGGACAGGCTGCGTGACCTGCAGGGCCCCACGTTCAACAATTATTACGAATTTCCCAAAATTTGCAACAGAGCATCCAGCCACGTGGGGCCCTCTTAGTGCCGGCCCTGGGCACATGCACATGTCACACACCATGAAGCCGGCCTGTCCAGGGCCCTCTGAGTGCCGGCCCCAGGCATGTGATCATGTCACACGCCCATGAAGCCGGCCTGTCCAGGGCCCTCTGAGTGCCGGCCCCAGGCATGTGATCATGTCACACGCCCATGAAGCCGGCCTGTCCAGGGCCCTCTGAGTGCCGGCCCCAGGCATGTGA